GGGGGGCGCCGAGGGAAGACTACCAGTGAACAGGCCATTACTGCAGCGTGTGATCAATGGTGGGTCAGAGGAAGACGTGGAGCATGGGAACCTGTGAAGTGAGAGAGTGACGTCCAGGTGGGCTGTTCAGAGTAAGGGATCCTTGACCTGAGCTGAGCGTTGAAGGCTGCAAAAGAGTTGGCCAAAGGATGAGTTGGTGAATACAGAGGATGTAGATAGATGAGGGTGTGTGAGTGAATGAGTATGTGTGATGACACTGCAGGCAAAGGAAGCAGAGACAAGAGGAAATGAGTCTCATGGGGGGATGTGGGGGGAGGGGTTATCTGTAAATAGTTGGGTATGACTGAGGGTAAGGGCATAGGGGCAGAGGCCAACTGAGAGCAGGGCAGAAATAATCATGGTAATCGTGAATGTTTATCGGGTGTTTAGTATGTGTTAGACCTCATCTAGTCCTCCCAGCCGCCCTGGCAGGACTGTATCATCGCTCCCACTTCACAGTGGAGGCAACGGAAGCCCAGAGAGGGCAATAACTTGCCTCAGGGTTCTCAGCTGGAAAGTGGCTGAGGTGACACCCTAACCGGGAAGTGCGGCTCAGAGCCCACGGGGGTCAGCACTGCCTTCATACTGCCTCTCCGAACATGCTCGTATGTCATGGGAGTTTACAGTCCATCCTAAGGGCACAGGGGAGCCATTAAACCTATTTAAGCAAAGGAATGGCTGGACAGAGATTTACCTTCTAGGAAGATCCCACCTGGCTTCCGTGAGGCAGTGAGGAGGGGCAGGGCGAGGTGGAAAGGCGGGTGTGGGAGATGGCGGTGGTCCTGCAGAGAGGACCCCGAGCCAGGCCTGAACCAGCAGGGACGGAGGTCACAGCGGACCTCCCATTTCTTCCCTCTTCCAATCAAGGACTTCACTTAACTTCCTAAAAACGGTATCTTTGGGCAAGGTCTGTGAGATGGCTGCATAAGGAAGAAGCTTAAACACATATTGGCTGGGTTTTGTTGTTTTATTGGGGAGTTTTTGTCTTGTTTTGTTTTCTGCCCGATGCTCCTCACAATGTGTTATTTTCGTCTTCTGGTGTGAAAATATTGGTTTTGTAATTTCATACTTTAAGCATTTTTCCAAATCGAAAGTGAAAATCTCCACTGTGGAACATCTTTCTTAGCAGATAAAGTCTCCACCCTCCCTACTGCTGAGTCTACACTTGACAGAAATGAAGACGCGACACTCAGGTTAAATGCAGCGGACCTCAA